GTGCCCAGAACGGAGGCGATGGCCCTGGAGGTAAGCGGGCAGGAAGGAAAGTCAGTGGCCTGGGCAGCCCTTCCACACAGCCCCCTGGGGCAGTTCTGGGGATGCTCCATCCAGAGACCAGGCCCCCCCAGCCCACCCACACTGGCCATCCAGGCAGGGGCAGGTGTGGCCAGCAGGTGCGGGGGGCCGGCAGTCCCCACGGGAGGGAGCCCTCCATCACGGGTGTGAGCACCCCTGCCTTCCTCGGGGAGACTGCCCCACGCCTCTGTCTGTCTGGGGTCCCTCCTGCTGCCCTGGAAACTCCAGGAGGGTTGGGAGGGGGTGCAGTGTCTGCTCTGTCCCGGCCCTGGGGCACACAGAGGAGCTGCAGCAGTCCGTGAGGGAGGAGGGAACGGGCAGTGTCCCTCAGCCCAGCCCGCCTGGGCTCTCACGGCCCCTCGGCCCCCAGCCCCTGCTCCGACGGCTGCCTGACCCCCTGCAGGCCCGTGGGGTCTCCTCACCGACACTATTCTCGGGGACGGCTGCCCGGCCTGTCCAGGCCCCACGTGCAGGCCCCCACGTGGGGGACCAGTGTGAGGCCCCTATGTGCGCGGGTGGCCCTGGATCGGGTCAGGGCAGGTGGGGCCCCCAGCCTCCCCTCCGCTACCTAGGCCCCGGGCCCACAGACTCAGCTGTCTCTCTCCTGTCCTGCAGGAGGGGCCCCCACACCGCCGCCCTCCAGCAGCCATGACAGACGCGGGGCAGCCAGGGCTCTGCCCAGCCCCCCAGCCCCACCAAAGCCCCAGATGTCCCCCACCTTGGAGACAGGGGCTCTTCTTCATCCTAAGGCCCGTCATCCTTCGGACAATGAGAGCAGAGGGATCCCCATCTAGAGGAGGCCCGCAGGGCGTCCCACGCAAGGTCCTGTGCCCATCTCTGCTTTGTCGTCTAGGGTTCCCGGAGGACCCCCACCTAGAACAGAGGCCCGCGGGGCAGGGAGATTTGTCTGCCCTGTTCCCTGAATAATGCAAAATGTCTAGAAGGGGCTTCCTGTCCATGTGTGGAGTCAATGAAGCCCAACCAGCACCTTTCAGATGTCTGAGTGGGTCTGGGGCCCCTCTGCCAGCCCCCAGGGATCCCTGCTCTGGCTCCCCCCAGGATGGGAGCCCCAGATGGAATCTGAAACCTTGTCACAGCCGGGAATGCGGCTTTGCCCAGACACAGGACACCGAGGCTTGGGGCAGAGAGCTCCTTCGCGGTGGAGAGGAACCGCCTCAGCCCCAGGCCACCCTCTCTGTGGGCTGGCCACAGGGTCGGGGACCGGTCCCAACAGTCACCCCGTGTGTGGGGTCGGGCCTCATGGCACGCAGGGTCCCCAGGAGACACCTGAGGTTCGGAGAGGGGACGTGCCACGCCTGAGACACACAGCCCGCAGGTGAGGGGGAGCCGCTGGGCGGGACGGGGAGCCTGCTCACCTTTTGTGAGCAGCAGGTGTGGGAAGGGCTGGGGGGCGTTCCTTGGGAGGTGCTCCGGGAGAGGGGCCATGGGAGAGGGCCTGCCCCGGCTCCACCAGCTTGCTCAGGCTGTCAGCACGGACCGCCCACAGCCTCGGGCTCTCACCCAGCAGCTCCCCTTGTGTGTGGTGTGTGTGCGGTCTGTGTATGTGTCTGGGTGGTGTGTGTGTGTGCGTGTGTGATATGTGTGTGTGTCAGGTGTGTGTGTGTGTGTCAGGTGTGTGTGTGTGTGTGTGAAGGGAGCAGCCCAGACTCCTTGGGTTGACATTATGGCCAGGTAAGGGGCACAGCCGTCGTGGCAGCCCGGGGGGTCAGTGACCTGGATGGCTTTGGGGCAGGAGACCCTCCTGGCCCTCCCCGAGCCCGGGCCTGGAGAGCCGTCGTCCCCACACTCCCCCTGAGCCTGCACCAGCCCTTACTGGCTGCCTGCTGCACGGGCCCCACACTGGGCAGCCGTAGAGGGAGGTTCCTGTTGACCAGCTTCTCCCCAATTTCTTCCATGGGGCTCTGCAAAGACAGTGAGCAGCGCCCGGCCCGCAGACATCACAGCCCGGCCCCGCCGTCCTCACCGTCGCCCTGCGCAGTCCCCCTGCTGCTCCAGGATCAGACACAGCCCCGTGCGGGCACAGCCCTGCACCTGGGATGCAGTGACATACATCTACAGGGCTCTGGATACACCCTGGGGAGGAGGAGGCCGCCCCAGCACACCCCGTCCCACCCAGCCAGCCTTGACCTGGGGTGTGAACATGATGCACCCACCAGGCATCTGGCCCCTCATCGCCCTGCTCCTGCTCAGGGTGGGCTACCCTGCCTGAGACGTCTACACACACACACACACACACACACACACACACACACACACAGGAGGGGAGCTGGGCTGCACTGTCGGATCACAGCGGTGTCTGGCTGGCCTGGCTGGCTCTGGGCCTCCCTGTGTTACCTTTGGGTCCACTCCAGTGTTCGTCCCGGTGCATGGCTGGGTCAGGGGAGGGGGAACGGGGACACGTCTGGGCAGGGAGGAGGTCAGGCCGCGTTTTTCTCCTCTACATCCCCTCCCCTGTCTTCCTGGCAGCACCCCGTCTCCCCAAGGTCCAGCACTCAAACACGCTCATCTCCCTGCTTTAATCCCCAACACATCCTCCTGGGGTGGGAGTCACTGACCCCATCTTCAAAGTAGAAAACGGAGGTCCCGAGAGTTCCCATAGGAGCTTGCCAGTCACAGGGCTGTGAGAGGGCCCTGCTGTGGGTTTGAACCCAGATCAACCTGACCCAAAGCCTGAGCTTCCAGAGGAGCCCGAGGAAGTAGCCTTTGAGCCCAGGCTTGGAGGTGAGGCCATCCTGGATGGGGGTGTTCTGAGGGGCAAAATCTTGAAGGGCTCCCTGGGGGTTAAAGGCCCTACAGAGGAGAGAGTGGGGTGAGGGGTGCACCCTGGGGAGCATGTCTAGACCAGATCATGCAGGGCTCTCTGGATGTTGGGCAAGGAGTCAGGGGACACTGCGGGTTGTAGGTTCAGGGGACACAATCCAGGCAGTCTTATCAGAGCCACAGCATCCTAGACTTAGAAGGAGCTTGGTGGGCATGTTATTGCCCCCACTCAAGCGTGGATCCCTAAGCACCAGCCAGAGGTGAGGAGGCTGACGCAGTTTCCTCCTGTGTAGAGTGGGGGCCGTGGTGGGCGTCTGCGTCCTTCCAGGCCTGGGCATGCTGCCTGGAAGGTCCAGAGATGGCTTCTCGTCAGAGTAGCTAGCTGTTCCAGTGAGGTCAGGACCCAGAGAGGTCTGAGTGAGGAGACCAAAGGGATGCCCCACATGCCCAGTTCAGCAGGATGCTCTTGTACATGGTGCCGATCTCCATGTCCAGGCTGATGGGGATGAGGCAGCAGCGCCCACCTGCTGCGTGGAGAGCGGCAGCGAGGAGCTGTGGTTGCAGACCCTGAGAGGCGGAGCTCGTGTGAGTCCGAGGCTGCCACAGATCTGATATGGAGGCTGAGGACGGGGAGGTGCTGACAGAAGCTGAGAGGATGCCTGAGGTCTCCAGCGATGACTGGGAGGTCAACTCCGGAACTTGAGGAACGGCAAGGCCTGCAGAAACACCATACTGTGCAAGGCACCCCCTGTCAGCATCTAGCCCAGAAGCTTCTAGAGACTGAGTCTCCTTGGCCCCTTTGTGGCTGTGGAGTGGAGACCCAGGCTCCAGGAACGGATGTCTGTCAGGGAAAAGGGTGGGACAGTCACCTTTTCCTGGCCATCAGGGACCCTGACACAAAACCCACGCTGATCTCCTCCACATCCACATCGGGCTGGAGGAGCATGCAGAGCAGGTGGGCGATGTCCCTGCTGCGCAGGTAGGGGCTGCATCTGAGCTGGTCCCAGGACTTGGAGTGAGGGCTCCTTTTGGTCTTGGGTGTTGTGTTGGGGGTGTGGTGGCAGAATTGAAGGGCTGCGAAGGGGTACGTGCACCCCAATGTTTATAGCAGCAATGTCCACAATAGCCAAACTGTGGAAAGAGCCAAGATGTCCATCGACAGATGAATGGATAAAGAAGATGTGGTTCATATATACAATGGAATATTATGCAGCCATCAAAAGGAATGAGATCTTGCCATCTGCAATGACGTGGATGGAACTGGAGGGTGTTATGTTGAGCGAAATAAGTCAATCAGAGAAAGACATGTATCATATGACCTCACTGATATGAGGAATTCTTAATCTCAGGAAACAAACTGAGTGTTACTGGAGTGGTGGGGGGTGGGAGGGATGGGGTGGCTGGGTGATAGACACTGGGGAGGGTATGTGCTACGGTGAGCGCTGTGAATTGTGCAAGACTGTTGAATCACAGATCTGTACTTCTGAAACAAATAACGCAACATATTTTAAGAAAAAAGAAAAAGAAGAAGATAACAGGAGAGGAAGAATGAAGGGGAGTAAGTCAGAGGGGGAGACGAACCATGAGAGACGATGGACTCTGAAAAGGAAACTGAGGGTTCTAGAGGGGAGGAGGGTAGGGGGATGGGTTAGCCTGGTGATGGGTATTAAAGAGGGCACATTCTGCATGGAGCACTGGGTGTTATGAACAAACAATGAATCATGGAACACTACATCAAAAACTAATGATGTAATATATGGTGATTAACATAACAATAAAAAAATTAAAAAGAAAAGAATTGAAGGTCTGACTTTGCATTGATCAGACACCCTGGGTGAATGGGTGCTCTTGGGTGTCCATGGGCACAGGTGGCTGTGACCCACGCATGGGAAGGTGTGAGGAAGTGCACAGAAGACAGTGCCCTGGGCTATGCAGGGTTTTCTGCTCATGGGCAGTGCTCCTTGGCAAAATTCAGCTAGTCTTCTTGTTCCTTCAGCACAGAAGTCGCCTAAGGTCATGAGTGGTTCATGGGAAGCCAGGTCAGTCGTTGCTGGGCATCATGCCTGGCAGGAGGAGAGGTTCAGCCCGAAATGACAGTCTGGGGGTGACCTGGAATGCCAGGTGAGGTGGAAATTGCCCAGGTAGCCTGATCCACTCCACTCGGTATTGCTTCTGTACCCAACAACGCAGACCTGGACGACGGCCCTCTGGCTGGCTGGCATCTGGAACAGGTAGAATGTTCCTCTGGCTCAGTCAAAGGAGAAGATCTAAGTTAGTAGAGCAAAAGAAAGTATGAAGATTAGGGCAGAGATAAACGGAAGAGAAGAGCATGTGAGAAAATCGGTGGAAACAGCAGTTCTTTCTTTTGCAGATTTACCAAAATTGACAAGGAGACAAAAATGGAACCACTTTATAGCAACAAATCGGCTCCCTGAGATGGAGCAGATAAATCTGAGAAGCACACAAACTATCAAAGTGACTCCAGAAGAAATGGAAACCCTGAGCAGACCTGCCATAAGTAAATAGACTGAAGCAGTATTGAGAACTTCCCAAGAATGAAAAGTCCAGAACCCGACGCTTTCCCTGGTGATTTGTCCCACACGTTTAAAGAAGACATAATACCAATCCTTCTGAAAGTCTGAAAAAAGTACAAGAGGAGGGAACACTTCCCACATCACCCTAGAATGCCAGCATCGTCCCGACTCCAAAGACTGACAAAGACCTTACAAGAAAAGACAACGGCAGGCCAAAATGCATGATGAAGAGCGAGGCAAGGATCCTCAACGGAATTCTAGCAGACCGAATCTAGCAGCACACTGACAGGACTATACACCATGACCAAGTGTGATTTACACCAGGAATGCAAAGGCTGTTCAACGTAGCTAAGCAGTGTCACGGACCACATCCATAAGAAACATGATCATCTCCGGGCGCATGGGTGGCTCGGTCGTTAAGCGTCTGCCTTCGGCTCAGGTCATGATCCCAGGGTCCTGGGATCGAGTCCCACTTCGGGCTCCCTGCTCAGCGGGAAGCCTGCTTCTTCCTCTCCCACTCCCCCTGCTTGCATTCCTGCTCTCGCTGTCCCTCTCTGTCAAATAAATAAGTAAAATCTTTAAAAAAAAAAAAAAAGAAGAAGAAACATGATCATCTCAATTGATGTAGGGTAAGCTTTGACAAAATCCAAACCTTTTCATAACAAGTACTCTAAATAAAATAGAAATAGATAATTTAATTGTGATAAAGGAGAGGTGCCTGGGTGGCTCAGTGGGTTGAGTGTCCGACTCTAGGTTTGGGCTCAGGTCATGATCTCAAGAGTCTTGAGATTGAGCTCCAGGGAGGGCTCTGCACTCAGTAGGGAGTCTGTTTGGAGATTCTCTCCCTCTGCCCCTGCCCACTCTTGGGTTTCCATGCTCTCCCTCTCAAATAAATAAATAAATAAAAGTCTTTAATAATTATGATAAAGGATGTTTATGAAAAAAACCTCATTATGTATATCATTCTCTGTGGTGAAAGACAAAGTTTTCTCCTTAAAATCCCAAATAATTCAAGGATGCCCATGTCCACCACTTCATTTCAATATTGTCGTAGAAGTTTGGTCAGAGAAATTATACAAGATTAGTCACTAAAAGCTCCCAAGTGGAAAGGAAGAAGAAAAAGCTTATTTATATATGACATAATCTTATATGTAAATAATCCTAAGAATTTGAAAAACTCTGTATGAGATTATAATATTT